TTAAGACCAGAGAAGAACCCAAATCGAGCCCAAGAAAAGGGCAACCCAAACCCAACACAAGGGACAAATCAAATCTAAGAAATGATCCAAATAGTAAAGGATTTCAGCTAACATAAATCACTGAAAGGAGCCCAAACCGAGCCCAAGAAAAGCGAACAGCTGAGCCCAGCACAAGGGGCAAAACCGAATCCAGCCAGAGGGAGCAAACCAGAGAAGTATTTCAAGCATTAATTTGATTTCGAAAAGAGCCCAAACCAAGCCCATCAAATGAGCTAAAGATTAATATAAAACTTTCAACTAAATTCAGCCTAGAAGAAAACTAAAACCAAGCCCAGCAAAAGGGACAAAACCAAGCAGCATAGAGGCTAACCCGAGCTCAGCACAGGAGCAAAACCAAGCAGCATAGAGGCTAGCCCGAGCTCAATAAAGAGGCAAAACAAGTGAAAGCGTTTTCAGCCAACATTTAATCCAAAAAGAAGATAAATTCAACTCCACTAAATGAGCTAAAAAGGGTCATAAAAATCAGATTTCATAAAGCCACAACCGAGCCCAAGAAAAGGGCAAACCGAGTCCAATACATGGGGCAAAACAAGAAGCATGCTTCCAATTCAATCCCGAAGAAAAAGCCAAGACTGAGACCACCAAATGGACCAAAGGAGAACATATCTTTCCAGCATTTATTGTAAGCATGAATATCAACAATAAAAGTTTCGGTAATTTCATCCCAACATGCAGTCAAATAAGGGGGGCAGCCAGAGAAACATGAAATGAGCCCCCAAATATATTTTTTCCAACTCATGAAATGATTTCTAACATGTATTCCAGCAAGGGGCAGCAAGACAAGCAAGAATGAGCCCCCAAATACATTTTTTTCGTCTCATAAAATAATTTCCATCATGCATTCTAGCAAGGGGCAGCAAGAGAAGCAAAAATGAGCCCGCAAACATATTTTGCATAGACATTTATAAAGGAATAAAAATGTATTTCTAGACTACTCTAGTCATGCCTTCAAATGTTTCAAGCAAAAGAAAAGTAGAGGTTACCCATACATACATGTTTCATTTCTCACCACCCTAAGCAAATATTCATGCTTAAACTTCAAAATAAGCTTTCATACTTCATGTCATTCGAAATAATACAAAATAGAGGAGAGGAGAAGAATACATCTTTTTTAATGCAGATTTAAAGCAAAGCACTAAAATAAATTGAAAGAAACGCTCCACAGAAATCCTTCCCGAAAACCTCACGCAAATAGCCCTTACGGCTTCTAGCTCCCGGATCTTTAACCACAGGAATATCGGCTAACATAGAGGAAGAAGAACTCCCCTCAAATAGCAAATCAGAAAGAAGTAGCTTTCCCCCACAGTAATCCTTCCCGACAGCCTCACGCAAATAGCCCCTACGGCTTCTAGCTCCCGGATCTTTAACCACAAGAATATCGGCTAAAAGAAAAGAAGAACTCCCTTCAAACAGCAAATTAGAAAGAAGTAACTTTCCCTCACAATAAGAAAAAAAATCCAAGTCTTCTTCTCTCAAAACCCTCAACAACCCAACACAGTAGACTAGAAAACGTTTTATAAGCAGAGAGAAGAATGGAAGAAGCCACCAACCACCGCTCCATGGCCTAATAGAACATGAGGGATGGAATCGACACAATAAAGAGGAGAGCGTACAGCCTCGAGGAGAAGTGTCGGCCATCTCATCTCCTTGCGATTGGAGAGCCAAAAAGCCAAAGGGAAGCTCGAGGAGATGAGCCGCGAGCAAGAACGGCAAGGAGAGCCGTGTGGATCCATCGTGGATCTAGGGCACACGGAGGAGAGGGAGACGAGCCGCGGGATCGAGCCGAACACAAGGCCGAATGAAGGGTTTAAGCGAGGGTAGAGGTGTAAATAGGATTTAGGTTTAATATAATTATAATTTAAGGATATTTATATAAAAGAAAAAAATTAATATTTTGAAAAATAAAATTTTAATTTGTGTTTTATCCATGCATCAAAACATAACAAAATTGGTATCATTTTTAAATAATTCTGACGTTCCGAACACGCCAGCCGTTGAAGGTCATTTTGATGAATTCATCAATTTGCGTGTCAATTTTCTCGTGTAAAAAATATAGCAATATGGGTGTATTTTCATATCAAAATTGGTATCCCGGACGCGTTGACACAGTCTTTTTTGTCGTCGGAAGTCATCCGGAGAAGTTCGCATTTTCACCCATCCTTTATATTCAATTGAAGTCTGACCTCGTGCAATTTTGTGAATTTTGTGCATTTGATGTGTGTATGTGACAAAAAAGTCGTGACAATATTTTCCTAGGACTTGAAATCCTATTGGGAACTTCTCCCTGAGTCTTCACATAATAGTCTTTAATCTGCTTGTACATAAGACGATGGTTTTGGGCCATAAATGCTATACATCACAGGAAAAATAGGAAGTGTTTTTGGAATTTCTAAAATGGTAGGTACCAATTCTAGTTTTCTAAGATGGTCAACAGGAATTCCTAAAGCTAGATCCTAGGAAAAGGTAATGACTTCAAAAATAAGGTCAACAGTATTAACAGAATTTTTAATCAGTCAAAGCAGGAGCCTATATAGGCTATCATGGAACCTTAGCAACATAATTAAGGTGTTTTTAAAAATATAAATTAATGTAAGGCTTAATCAATACCTCAAGGATTGCATACAAATTATCATAGCTAAAATTTTACTCATTTTGCATATTTGTTATTCATAACACCATAAAGTATTAAAGCACAAGATTATAGTACGGTGTTGAATAGGGGTGTAAACGAGTTGGAGTCAAGCTTGAGCTTTATTCTACAAGTTCAAACAAGCTCACAAGTCAGCTTGATTATTATAAAAAAAGAGAGAATAATATTAAATCAAACTAGTGTTATAAAAAAATGACAAATAGAAAGAGCACTTAGTAGAAATTATTTGATATAAAATATAAAATATCATTTTTATAATTATTTTAATATTTTAAAGATAAAGTTTGAAATTTTATTATATTAATGAATTTTTAAACCAACCAACTCCCGAGCTAATGAGTCGAGATGGGCTGGCTTGAGCTTCGCTTAATAGCTCATCAAGCTCAGTTCACGAGTTGAGCTGAGCTCAAGCCGAATCACAAGTCAGCTTAGCTCACTTGCACCTCTAGTGTTGAAGTTAAAAGACTATCTAATCATCTCTTCGCTGATCTATCTTTATCCAATCAAATTCATCTTTCCTCAATAACCAAGCATCACAGCTCTCCATGACCAATGCTTTGTTTATAGGTGCATAAATAATTGAGATCAACCCAAATTTTTTCCAACTTCTATTTCTATAGGAATTTAATCTTTCCATTTTATCTATCTCTAGTTATTAATTCATTGTTTCCTATTTGTTACTTCACCATGACTATCCAATATCCATTTCATAACACATCATCAAGAAAAAATAGATAGTGTCGAAAAATAAAACTCTTCTCACCTACAACATCAAGAATAAAAGATGTTGGGGCTAATTCATAATACTATTGATGAAATTTTTGTGTCCAAAAATAATAATTAAATATTCTATCTCTTCTCTCTCTCCCATCACCTTTCTTTCTCTCTCACACACATAATGACAACTCTTTTCTAATTAGGGGGGGAAATATGAAAGAAGCACTTCCAGATATCATTGTCTCACCCTTCCTCCTCTATAATCCAATTAGCATTAAACCAATCACCAAAATGGAATAACATGTTAACTATTGGTTTGACTACTTTAAGCCACCAATGATTGGGCAACATAATAAATTCTTGTTTGTATAGCCAACCAATAGTCTTTAAGGAGGAAAAATAAGAAAATTAAAAGCCAAAACAAAAAATTGCATTTTTAGTAACAAACAAATTAACATATTTTTTACAAGAGCAAACATAATGGTTTAATACCAAGTAAAGCATCCAGGCTCCAATAAATTCATAGCTCCTTTTAACATGTTAATGATTTTAAAAATATTCCAAGTATCATAGGCTTTGGTAGAGTTTAACATAAACTCAACATTTAAAAAATGCTCAACGTTGATGCTAAATGGTCGGGTCACATTTCCCATAAATTTTTCCATTCACATAACCATCAAATGAATGTAAAACACACATATATCAATGTATTTTTGTCTTCATCTCTCATCTTTTCTCCTAATACAGAAATCATCCTCCCACTTGCTCGCTCCTAATGTTGGCTCTCTCCAATGATCATAATCAATTCACTTCTCTCCAATGATCATAGCCGATTCACCTCCTCTAGTGATATCAAATAATAGAACAATTCTTTTGAACTGAATGTTGGACAAAAGACCTTGTCTGTCGCCACCAGTCTTCTTATGCATCTTCTTCATCTTCTCCGATATTGGTAGAGTAACCAGCTCAATCACCTCGGAAAATGATATAAACTAATGATAGCCAACCATAAGAATAACAGGATCAATCCCGCCACCTCTTCCTCTATAAAGTCAGTAGAGTGAAACCCTCAATCTCGTTAGAAAATGACCTAACCCTAGAACGAGATAAAAAATATGGAGGATTATGATAATTTGGTTATAAACAATAATTTTTTAAAAAAATTTAACTAAAAATTACCTTAATAGGCTATTTACCATCATTAGTAAAAATGGACCTTTTTCAAGATCAAGAACTAAGTTGAGGGAACGTAGTGAAATCTTAAAAGCATTGTCGACCAAAGTGGAGGTTTTTTAAAACTATGGATTTGCTTTAAGGGCTTAAAAAATCAAAGAACCCATTTATTATATATATAAGTATATTTTAACAGTTGCATCTGCAGATATCCTAATAAAACCTTGTTGCATTATATTAAAGGTTGACAAAATTTTGCTCTAAAAAAATTGAAACATCAGCATCATCACTCAATCTAAAATAAATAAATTTAAATCATAATGTATGTCAACCAACAATAACTTTAATTAAACTCCAAGCTATTAAAATAAGTGTTGTATAAAGATACATAAATACTTACTCATCACTTCCAGCTTCTCAATCTGCTCTTTAATGCTCTCAGGATCCTTTTTAAGAATCCCAACTTCCCGCACCTTTTTTCTTTCTTTCTTATTCTGAAATGACAATGTGAATTTAAGAATGAATTTTAGGCATGGTTGTCAAAGAATAAAGCAAATGACATAAATAAGATAGAAAAATTGTTGATACTTTAACTCACTCATATTGCTCAAAATGAGCATTTAAAATCTATTTATGTTGCCTAACACCATATACAACATAATCATACACTTTAAGGGACGACTCATTTTCCAAAATTTAAGAGAAAAATATTCTAAAAAATAATAATAATAAAGAAAAAATTATCCAAGCATCAAACAAATAAACATCAGTTACAGCTAGTAAGTCATTAATGGAAAAATATGGAGTATGGTAGTTTTGCAATTTTTTAATAATTTTATAAATTATTATGCTCATTCAATTATAACCTATCCAAAGAAAAATAAATTTTAATGTAAGACATTCTCTTATGTTTTTATATCATCAATTTCAATAATGAAAAAAATAAATGAATAAGATAAATAGTATCTCATATTTTGCCGAAAAAGGTAACAAGCACCTAATCTCTCTGTCATTTGTGTAACCAGATCACAAATATTAATATACGGCTAAATGATAAATTAAATGAATAGATGTCGCCATATTTAGAAAAGAAAGCAATGTAATATCAAATCTGATAATCCAAAAGACAAAATCAATAACATTCACGGAGCGTGAACATAGAATATGGTTCGTCCACAAATTGAAAACCAAACAAGGGTTCCTTGCAATTAAAAGTGGGAATAATGTTGACACTTAAGTATTTAGTCAATTCAAAATTGATTCAAGCCTACACATATTGTAATCACGTCCCTATAAAATTTATTCAAGCCAATTTCAAAGGGAAATCTTAATATGTGAAGGCAACTAACTTTTAAGCACAACCATCCTAAAAACTCCATATGCAGATACCTATCAAAAATTTGCACTCAACTTTAGTCATTTTGAGGTTAGCTCATACCATATCAATTGTTGTCAAAAACGAATAGGCAACTATGTGTTAAACTCAATGGTTTAAAGTATTTTTGGCTTTCGTTTTGAAGGAGTTTGCATCCAACTCAATTAGGTTTTAGCATCTTTCATTTTTGAATTTTATTTAACAGTTTCAACCGCTATAGTAAAGTGAGCCCTTTATCCAATGATGCAAGAAACACACTATTTAACCTCTATCCCACTATACTCTCAAATTGTTGAGGATTCTTGCACAATTGCTCTCCGCTTCACCTCTCCCAGATAACAGAAGAGAAATCAAAGGATTGAGGTGGTAATATTGTACTAGTTCTATGTAAAAGATATTACTTCTCCCTCATACGACTCATATTCTTTCTAATTTTTTTTTAATCGTATTTTCCTATTCCATTCAAAGCTAGGTTCATGTTCTCCCCTTTGTTACCTCGACACCTTCTCCAAACCTAGACCAAATTAAAGATCTTCAATTAAGGTGTTTTCCCCTCTAATAAATAAAAATAGAATAAAACATTCAAATCCTCACATGAATTGATGTTTCCCTTTAAGAATATATTCGTCTTTTCCTTTCTTATAGTAGTTATGGATCGTTTTCTCAAAGCCCTTGAAAGGGTATATGCTAGACCCACAATATTCAATGTCATCAAATACTTTAGGAACGATGTGATTCAATGACATTTCCACTTTTGCTGCATAACATACGCTGCATGAGCACAATGATTCAAGTTTCATAAATGAGATATTTTGATAACATATAGTCTTTATCACAAGATTTCAAGAGATATCCTTTGGAGAGTTCTCGAGAAGAAAGGTGTTGATATGATTTATATTCAAAGACAAAGATAACAAAATACAGACTGCTTACATCTTTTGCTTGAACAACTGCTCACCAACTAAAAAGGTTACTTTCCTATTTCTGTGGATTACATCAGGGATCGGCTTCAAGCCCATATCTTTTTGCTTTAGCTATGGATGGTCTTACTAAACATTTACAGGAGGATGTACCTTGGTGTATGCTTTTTGCAGATGATATCCTTCTTGCGGATAAGACGACGGAAAAAGCCCAGGAAAAACTTGAATTATGAAGGTCTACATTGGAGTCTATACATTGGAGTCTAAAGGCCTTCAAAGTTGAATTCATGGAATGCAATTTTATTAGCAACAACTCTAGCTGCAGAGTTGTAACTATGGGTGATCAAAACATTAAAATGTGTGATTGTTTTAAGTATCTTGAGTCTATTGTTCAAAGTTATGGTGATATAGATGGGTATGTTATTAGTAGAATTTAAGTTGGTAGTTTGAAGTGGAGGGATGCATTAGGCCTATTATGTGATAGAAAATTACTGCTAGTACCGCTTAGATTGAAAGTGATTGAAAGTAAAATTTTATAAGACGGTGGTAAGACCTGCAATGCTCTATGGCGTTGAATGTTGGCCTTTAAAAGAGAAGCATAATACTAAGTTAAGTGTTTGCCGAGATGAGTATTATTAGATGGATGAGTGGCTTTATACTTAGAGACAAAATGCGAAATGATTATATCTGTGATAGGGTTGGTGTAGCTACTGTGACGGACAAAATTAGAGAAATTCGTCTTAGATGGTTTGGTCACATTAAGTGTCGACCATCTGATAATCAGATTAGGAGAGTAGATGTTTTAGATTCGACTTATGTTAAGAAAGGCAGAGGTAGACCTAGGAAGACTTGGGCTTATTGTATAAAAAATTATCTTAATTTATTAGAACTAAATGAAAATATGACACTAAATAGGACGCAATGGAGAAAAAGAAATCCCCCACGTAGTGGGATTAAGGCTTTGTTGTTGTTGTTGTATAGTCTTTATCACAAAATAATCGAGTTGCCAATTGCCAAAAATCTTCAACTTCGAAGTATTTTTACTTTTGAAACTATTTTTTTTTTACCTTAATTATGGTTATTTATTTTAAGACTATGATTACTTTATGGGTTTTTAATATTTTAATTTAAGCACAAGCTGATCCATCTATAACTGTTTTCCTTTCCGTAGCCACTAAGCTAAAAGAGAGATTTATAGTTCAAAGCATTTAAGTTGTTATTAGATACTTGGCCTTTTGTTGCACATCAACCAATTTGTTCCCCTAAGGTGCCTTTTTTTTGTTCCCGAAAGGTGCCTCTTTAATTTGATATTGCTTTATTTTAATGTTTATGTTGTCTTCAATCATTCATGCAATGCAATTAAATAATGCAATTGATTTTTTTAGTTCGTTATTTGATTGATATTGAAAAAATAATTAATGCACCCAATTTAAAAAAATTGCAGTGTGCATTTACTACTTCATTGACTACATAATTATGGAATTCGAGATTTCATGATAGTTCTTCATTTAACTATAAATTTGTGAGTTCAACTAGTAGAATTAGCTCATTTGAATCTATGAAGCAAGTGACAATCTTATACATACTATTTTCTTATTGCTAGCTCATTTTTTTAACACTTAGAAGAAACTTTGTAGGAGCATAACATGTGGCTGGATATCTATATTGTTGTTTCTTTGCAATTTGACATAATCATTTAGGCAGAGATTGCTAATGGCTATGCATTTGATTATGTTGGTTCTATAAATCGGTGAAAGTTGTTTTTCATTGGATTTTCATTGTGTGCATATGCAGGGATCTTTTTTGAGTAATAAGTTGACGATAGGATAGGGTGATAATAGCAGCTACAAGAGCCAATGTTTTTAACGAAGCCTAAAAAATAGAATTTGTGATAGACTGACATAGCCTACAACACTTGTTCTGTTAAGTTACACACTAGAAATGAGATGGATAACTTTTGCATTAACTCATGTCCCAAAAGTAAGATATTGATACTTCTGGATTATGCTAGTGGCTAGTGCCTTATGGCTTTCTATGTTGCTGTTCAATTATTATTTTATTTTTATCAAGTGGGTTTGAGTTAGCTAATGGTCTTTCTGTTTATCTGATAAGCTTCTCATACTCTGTACACTAGCATAAATGCTAAATACTATTTTTGTTTCACTATCGGATTTTCACATGAACATTTATGGAGCATTGTTTAGTTTTATCTAAAAAATAAATTTGCTCCTTATTTCTACTTAAAATGATTTATTCAAGTAATGGTTGGACAGTTCAATTCATTTGCATCACTTTATCCATTTTATCCCTGCTATATAATCTGTTTGGTTTATCTTGCATTATCTTTTTGTGTTCAGTGCTTAGCATTTCACATTTTGCTACTAACATTTAGTTATATTGGCAAAAAGCAGTAAACTTCATAAAATTAGCTGGTTTATTTTCTTAGAAGTTTATTTGGATATCGTTGGTTCTCTCTCTCTCTCAATATCTATCCATTATCCTTTATGTCTTATCCTATAGATGGATAAAATTAAAAAAAACAAATTATTCAAAGTTAAGGTGCTTAAATAAGTACCATGAAATTAAATTTGGTTCACATTAAGGTAGACAGATGTGCGTCGAGTTATGAAATATATATATTGTAGCAAATTGTTTGGTATTAAAAGTAGATGAAGTGCTTAAAGACTTTCTAATTATAATAGAATTACGTCAAGGATCAACATTGACTCTATAAATTTTATATTAGTTGTGAAAATGCTTACAAAAGATATTCAAAGTGTGATTCCTTGCTAAGTTGATGTGTGTTTTTCAGAAATGACATGGTTATAACTAATGAGATATTTATTAAAATAATAAGCAAGATACAACAATGGAGAATATGTCTAAGATTTTGAGGGACCAGGTTTAGCTAAATAAAAATGAGAAGAAAAGATCAATAATATACATTTTCAGGGGAAATGTGACATTAACAATTATAAGATAAAATTATTGAAAGATAAAGAGATACATGATTATGATAAGAAGATGAATCCTGAATCAATTATACAAATGAATAAAGATATAAATGGGAATATAACTTCTAGAATTTAAAAAATGGGAGTGGCCTATTAAAATAGAGAAGAGTCTCAACAACGTTGTATGATAAAGGGATATCATTAAAAAATAAAAGGTAAATTCCATTAAATTGTAATTAGGCTAATAATATCATATGGTTCCAATTGATGAGCAATAAATAAGCAGTCGATAGCTATGTTGAGCATAAAAAAAAGAACATCAAAATGGTTCCATGAAAAAATTATGAAACTTAAATAAAGGAATGATTATAGCAGAGTGGCAATCATTGAACATAAGGTAATCCAAAACAGACTTAGTTAATTTATGCATGTATAATGATAGGTAAAAAAAAGGAATTCATTAGAGGGGTAGATAAAATGAGTATCAGCGGATTTGGAAAGAGAAAGACAAGGCCCAGAGTAACATGGATTGAAGTTGTTCAAAATAAATTGAAAAGAATAAAGTTTGAATCTCAAAAAAACGCTCAACAGGAATGATTAAAGAATAAAGACTTATAAAGCCAACTCCTAATCATCTGCAATAAGAAAAACCTAACCTTAAACTCGTAGGCATCCTCAATCACTCGTCGCCTCACGGGGATAAAATCTAGTACGGGATATTGTGCAAAAAACAGAAATTGGATACCAAAATACAGATTTACATAACAAAAGTGAGAGAAAACACCCGAGGAATGTTGAAGCAATAAACAAGCGTACCCTCTTGAGCTCCTTCTTCCGGAGCTCCTTCCGATAGGCATCCGTAGGGTTCATGACCTTTCCTCCCTTAGTCGTCTTCATCTTCGCCGCCACAGCCCGCTTCAAGCCACCGACGGGATTGGGAAGAAATCGACAGACAACCTACTTTTCTCACGGCCTTCGATGATTCAGCTGTCCTCCGTGCTCCATCTTTACTCGTTTCAATAGGCTCGGTGAGTTCGTCCCGAAATGAGTTGGGCTTTTCTTTGTTTTTTTTTATCTTAATAAAGCTGTTGCAAATAATTAAATATTACAGTTATTTTTTTGATAAATGATCACTCTATCTATTAGTAATATTATCTGCAATAAAATTATGATACTAATAAATTTTATAGTTTAGAAATAAAAATCTACTGCATAACAAGAAAAAATAAAAAAATATACAACTCACTTAAGGGTGAATATGATGATTATAAGAATTAATAAAATGACTATTAAAATAACCTTTTAAATTATGATGATATATTTTTTTAAATACAGACGACTTATGTTACGAGCTAAAATGTCCTTCAGGGATACTCTTCATGCTCTATCGCTCTCGGCGGTGGAATCTTCTAGTTTATCTGTTTTGCCGAAAAAAGACATAGTTCTCTGTTATTCTCTGCAGAGCATATATAAAATTGTCACCCGTAGCTATGTGTTTAGCGTGAAGTTAGAATGAAACATTGAAGTCCACAGTAGAAGTGCAGTTCTCGAGAGGTACCAGAAATTCTCGAGTTCGTCTTTCCTGAATGCTTTAAAAGACATCTCAATACACATAACATAAGTTAAAATTGATAAAAACAAGTAATTAATTATAGTTTTATGCAGTTGTGATGTCTCAAATAACTCGGTATATCAAACAATGAATCCGTCACTACAAGAAGACAACAGATTTTATAAAGAAATGGTTATTGGTTGTCTTTAACCCACGCAATACCCACTTAGTGTGTGTTACACATGCATATCATTAAAAAAAGTCATCCAGAAGAACTTTGAAAACTATAGCACTAAAAAAAGAGATGAACATAGTTGTCTTCATTAAAATGTTACATGTGACGCCAACCAACAACGTCAAACAGGTCATCTAAAGAAACCCATAAGTTCAAACGACTCATCACAGACCTCTCAAATCCACCAAAAGAAAATAAAAGAAATGCAAAAGAAAAAAAAACACTTATAAACAACGTAAAAAATTCAAACAATCAATATAAAATACACAAGGAACAAAAATGAACATGAACTGTATAAATACAAATACAATAAACAGTTAATCTCTTCAACAATCGTTATAATTAATAATACAATGAATACTCAAATCACCCTCCTACCATCGCATCTGTAATACGTTCTTTCATCTAATTTGCACCTTCCTCATTTTTAGTATAGGTCTCGAGAATATCATGTTCAGCCTGTGACAAAGGCTGTCGAAGATGTCAAATGTCTCTACAGGGACATGCTCATGATCCTCTTCCACCCTGCGGAGGTCGATGTTCTTGCGAAAAAGATGCCACCAAATGTAATTGTGGAGAGCCATTGTAGCAATCATAATATGCATTTGTTTGGGAAACGAGTAAGATACATATCGCAAAGTATAACATATTTCTTCTTCCAAACGCCAAATATCCTCTCAATGACGTCGCGTAAGAAGGAATGTCATTTATTAAACATTTACTTTCTGCCCCGCGTGACATTGTTCGCTCACTCAAAGTCATATATGTGGTATCTCATATTAAGATATAGCTTGAGATACCCTTGCTGCAACATATATACAACAACAACGAAATAGTACTTACATGATGTGAATTGCAAGATTGGTATTGATAGAAGAATGAATTAGCATAGTAACTTGGTCTTAAGTGTACCTGTGGGTGGATGTGGAAAGTTGTACTTGTTATTTGGTATTGTACTTTTGAAAATTCGACTGTCATGTGTACTGCCCCTCTCAATCAGCATGACAACGAGCGAGAGACCGATAGCGAACAAGTTCCGCGAGGGAAAGAAGAAAAGGACTTTGAAAATAGAGTCAAATAGTGCTTGAAATTGTCGGGAGGGAAGCGGATGGGGGTCGGCGAAGCGGAGTGGCTGCGGCCCGTCCGCTGCTCGGCTCGAGGCGCGGATCGTTGCAGGCCTCGCCGGCGGCAGGAGCCCGGGCGATCGACGCCCGAGGAGACACCGTCGGTGCGGTCGGCGGACACGACACACACCGATCAGGCGAGCCCCACGGGTCTCCGGCGTGCTCCGGCGTGCCCGTCGCAACGGCCCGTGGGCTCCCCGTTCGACCCGTCTTGAAACACGGACCAAGGAGCCTGACATGCGTGCAAGCCGACTCCATGCGGGCAAGCCGACTGGTGTCGAAGCCCGGTGGGCGCAAGGAAGCTGATGGACGGTTGAGCAGATATTATGCATTGGAAACCCACACCGGCCTATGAATACAATTTTCTCTACCATACATACATATGTATGTATGTATGCATGCATGTATGTATGTATGTATGTATGTATGTATGTATGTATGTATGTA